TTCCAGTCCCAAGATGGTGACCAGGGGGTGGGGCCACTCTTGCAGCTCTTGACAGCTCACCAAATCTCGTTAAGCAGCCCTCCAACCAAAATAATTGCCCACGTCTGCTATAGCTCACCTGTAATTTATAGGGGTGCACCAATAGAGATTTTGGGGGACAATACTGATAGCCGATATTTAAGGAGGCATATCGGCTGATACTGATCCAATATCCCATACGGCTGCCTCCAGCGGGTCAGTGTGGTGTGGGGGGAGGGGTGGGGAAGGGGCATGGAGGGGCAGATCAACACCCCCTGCAGTGAGGGAGGGAGGGGGCAGGGGCAAGCACTGCCCAGGAGGGTGGGGGCGCAGGACAAAGCCGTAGCTTATGGTGGGGGGCGGCTCCCACCGCTGCTTGCACCGGTGAAGGGGGAGGGTAGGGGTGTGCCCCCCAGATCTGTGCGAGTAGTGTGGACTGGAGCCACTGCTGCACAGTTTTTCTTGGCAGGGACTGGGCTTGGAGTGAGCGCGGTTTCGGCTCTTCCCGGCATGTGGGGGGAGGCAGGGCATGGAGCCAGGCTGCACCTTGTGGTGCGGGGCTGGGAGCAGAGCTGCAGCAAAATTTAGGGTGGCTGTAGCCCCTCCCAGTGCCTGCTGCAAGCCCAGCCCCTGCCAAGAAGAGCTCCATGCAGTGCTAGCTCCAGCCTCCTTCCTGCACAGATCCCAGATCCGGGGGCCACACACCCTCCTGGGGTGCAAGCAGCTGCAGGAGCCACCTGCCCCCCATGAGCCATGCCTCTGTCTTGTGTCCCTGCCCCACCCTGGGCAGGGCCTGCCTCTGTCACCTCCCTCCCTCACCGTGGGGGTGTTGATCTGTCTCCCCACACCTCTTCCCTCTCCCCACCCCTTCCGACTTACCAGCTGGAGGCAGCTCTCCATGCTTCTAGCTCTGCTCCACTCCGCTCCATGCTGCACTGCAGCTGCGTGCAGCATGGGCATTTATCAGCCAAATTATCGGCCCCATCAGGCTGATATCCAATACAGCAAATTTTATTTTTATCAGTACCTATTTAATATCGGACCAATGTATCAGTGTACCTCTAGTAATTTAGAGCAGGTATTCATGGAATAAGAAATAAAGGGAGATTGATATAATCCTAATTGAGAAGGGAGAATATGCTGTGTTGAGCTGCATGGCTGCACAGTGGCACACACCAGGAAAATATAAAGATGGTCGTGTCTCCTTTCCTTTTCACTTACAAGCAAGTGCTTGAGTCATAAGATGGGAAGTATGAGAGTAGGTTTCATTTCTGACTGAGGATATCTGGACTTCAAGTCAGAGAAAGTTTGAAACCAAATTTAAACATATAACAAGCCTCCAAAAAGAGACTGATAACTCCTTAAAGGAGTACCTTGTCAGTGCCTTCAACTAGGCATATAGAATGATTCAGCTTGATAATAGCCACTTTATTAGAACTCTCTAACTTTTATTGTATGAAAAATCAAGCATACATATTTGCAGAGCACTGTAACAGATTCTCTACCCCCAGGCCTGCTTTGTAAAGATATGAGCAAATGTACTTCAATCACTTTAGAAGGGAAGGCAGGACAGTTGTTTGGGATTGCTCAATAATACAACTGTTTTCATGGTCCTTTAGGGCCATTTAGCTAATTCTGACCCTGAATGAAGTAGAGTTATAGTTGAAGGAGTTTTGGTATGCTTATCACAAATACTTATTGTTTCAGCGCCTTGTTCTTTTCCACTTCCCTATCTCAAATTGTTTGCAACGATAAATTGATGAAATGTCTTCAGTGTAGTTTCTGACAGCTTGTTTATACTCTGCAGGTGCCGTGAAGCAGTAGAAGTAATTTGAAGAAAAACTGAAAGAACAAATGGCTTTAGCTGGCTGCCCAGACTCCTTTCTACATCTTCCATACCGGCTTGTAAGTCTAAAACTGTTTAACATTATATTGTAGTGCTATGGTGGAGGTGGGTGGGGGTGGTGATCTTAAACCCCCTGATTTAAGATACGGATTTAGCTACTTTCTAAAAATACTTTCAGTGTGATTATATGTTGCTGGCAGGGATTTCCAGCATCATTCATGGACTAGTCTCAGTCTCTAATACAGATAAACCAGGAGAGGCCAACCTACGGCATGAGTGCCACAAATGGCACAAGGAGCCTCTGCTTGCATGTGACGTGCAAGATTGGGGAGAGGACAGGTAGCACAGTGACAGAGAGGGCAGAAAGCAGAGCAACAGACTGGGCAGGGAAAGGGGATTCAGGAAGGTGCAGGGCTAATTTGGGGCAAGCCAGACACAAAGGTTGGCCCCCACTGCAGTAAAGATAAGGCTATTTTCAGCAACTAAAATTGGCAGTCTGGAGTTCAAAACACATTGATTTGATGGTAGGAAATACACTTTCCCAGGCCAGAACACCAGTGGAATGTGGCAATATCTCTTGCACTGAAGTGGATGATGAATATCAATTTAGCAGAAATGGGAAATGCAGGGATTGCTGTATTGGCCTGGATCACAGGCCCATCTAGTTGTTATCTCATTTTTAAGAGTAGCTAAGACCAGATGTTTGAGAGGAAGATATAATACTCCTGTAATGGAGAACTAGACAATAATATGCCTGAAAATGTATTTCTTCCATTCCCCAGGCAATTAGTGGTTGGCTTTTTAAAATATGCCTCTTGTGATGCCTTTAACTCTAGTGTAATGAGAGTGCAGATGAGCTCTCTGGAGCAGAGACTACTCTGTTTTGTTTTATGTAGAGTGCTTACCACAACCAAGACCAGATTGGGCTTCTTTTGAGCCCTACAGCCACACAAATACTAAATTAAAAACAATAACCATATGGTAGCTAGTTCTTCTTGAGACCTTTTGTTTCAATATCTTTTTATAAGCGAGTTTCACAGTTCAATTTTCAGTGTATGGAATTTGCTTCCACTGTCCTTGCATAAGATGTTTTCATTTTTCGGTGATAGAGGGTAACCTGGAATGACTATTTGATAGCTGAACTGTCAACAGGACTTGGCAGTAACATTTTCTAAACTCTGCTAGAGTTCAGGTAAAAATTATGCTGGGAGCTTTAGACAAATAGCAAGATTGCCCTGTAGAATGTCTTTTTCCTTTTGGCTCCAGCATTGATTTAACTCAGCTAGCTCTTCATTTCTTAACATATTCTGGATAGACTAGTCTGTGGGTATGGACAGGAGTGACATTTCTAACAGAAATGCTTGTCTCCTGCTAGGATGGCATTTGTTCAGTTTCACCTGCAGGAAACATACAAATTCTAGGAGAAAGTTCTTCCTTGATTCAATATGGAAGGCCTTGCCTGTGGAAAGAATTCTTGTGAGGGCAAGAACATTTGTAGGGTTCTGGTGCTACACTCCTCCAGTCTGGAAGAGATGTGGGGAGTCAATACTGCTTGATTCCTTCCTAGGACTGGAGAGAGTAGAGTGGCTGGTGAATGCTCCCTGTGCATTCCTTGGACCAGGATGAACCTGGTCTTGTGGAGGAGAGGGGAACAGCAGTTGCAAAAGGCTCCCCATGCCTTACCCAGATGTGGGTCACTCGGTCTGGGGAACGTGTGGGAAGCAGAAGCTGCTTATCTCTTCCTGGGACCTGGGAGCAGTGGAGCAGTTGCTCCCCTGCCTTAACCAGTCCAGGGTCACCTTGGTCCGGGAACACATGGGAAACAGAGGAGAAGGGGCAGCTGCAGGCTGGAATGCCTATATACTCACTCTTGCTAGTACTTCCCCAGAAATTTGCAGCACTAGACATGAATGCCTCCCTATGGCCTGTTTTCACTGGCAAGCACTAACAAAAATGAATCTTTCAAAACAAAGCGAGTAAACTGAACCTGGACTTTAAACTAGAGAACATGATGAATAATCTGGGAAATTTGATGAGATATTCCATCAATGCAGATCTTTATTATAAAATTAGACAAAACCATATGTTCTTCTCTGTGTGTAACTCAGTGCTGAAGGTCACCATTCTCTGAAGTCTTCCCCAAGATAGCACTCATAGGGCTGAGAGGCCTGTTCTTTTCTGAGACGCTTCACCCACTTTTGTCTCTTCAAGTCAGTGACAACAGTTGATTTTTTTTTTTTCCTCTTTGCAAGCTTTCTGCTCTCATAGAAGTTGTCTAGTGGCTGATGATCATGTATGGATGAACAGCAGTAAAATCTAGTAGTCTTTACTGCTTGAGCTAAAGTAGAAACTTCCTTAGATTATAGCTATAACAAATTCTTAACCATAGGGACCAGCCCATAGAGGAAAGCAAATACATATTATATTACTGTGGTTTATGTGCCTGCAGGGTAGGGATCTTTCTTTGAAAACGGTTTAATTCAGTGGTCACCAACCTGGGGCTTGCGACTTGTCAATCCTTGAGCCTCTTTAGGTCGATCCTGGGTTGTGGGGGACAGCTGGGCACATGGGCATGCACACACCCACCACCCCTAGCCCCAGCAGGTCCATCTGTGGGGGAGAGAAGGGGGGGGCAGATTGATGCCCCCGTGGTGAGGGACTGTCCTCATTCAGGAGCAGGGGAAGATAAGTATGGCCCCATTGGGTGGTGGGAGGATTGGAACCCCAGGGGGACTCCTCCAGGAACACAGGGGAACTCCCTCCCCATCTCTGCGGGGGCGGAAATGGCAGAGGCGGCTGCTGCTGCACCTTGAGCCCTGCTGCAGCTGGCCACGTCTGGCTCAGCTCAGTAGTAAGCACTTGTGTGGTGTTGGGCCCCAGCCTGACTGGGTCTGGGACTTCTGCCACCCAGGGTCATGCGGGGGTGGGGGGGCTCCTGCTGCTGGGCATAGCCCAGTGGGGGCTCCGGGGCCCTGTGCCCTTCCCCTCTGTGCTCTGGGACAAAGTGGCTGCTGCTGCGGGTTGCCTGCTGCACCCAGAGCACAAGGGGAGGGGGCACAGGCCCCCAAGGGCTCCATTGTGCTATGCCCAGCAGCAAGTGCCTCTCCCTGCACGTGTCCCTGGGTGGCAGACCGGGCCAAGAACCAAGCACAGTGGATGTGGAGCTGCCAGGATCACAAACCTGGTTTCTCTCCTTCCCGGAGGAGCTGCTGTCTGTATGGGTACATTTTTGGTGCAAAACCTCAATAGTATTGGTAGGTGTTGCAGGGGTTACTTGTCTCATGCAATCCAGATTCCAGCTCCTGGTGCTCTCTTGAGCACTATTTAAAAGCCCTGCCTAATTTAGCCATAACTATAGGGTTCAGTTGACCTGGGAATATAGCTGGGCCTTTCATCTTCCATGTGATCACACCAGCAGTAACAAACACTGGAGGGAGTTCTCACTGCTCCTTTAAGAGTAACATTTTATGTACTGGGGCACAGATCCTCAGGTGGGTCCCTCAGCCGTTAGGTCATATCAATTTTCTCACTCCAACAACCTATCCCCATATTGTGGTCACAATCTTTCATTAATTCTGGACAGATCTATATTAAAATTAACAAGGAGAGAATAAAATATACTGTTGTATGCTGTTATTTCTACATTTTCTTTTGGCTGAGCCTTGCCCCCTTGCCTGCCCAGCAGCGGGACGTGTGTTACGGCAGGGAGATGGGGTGGGGTGGGGTGTGGGCTAGGTTGGGTGCGTGGTAGATCCCGGGGTGCCCTTTACGTCCAGAAAGTGATCTTTACCATAAAAAGGTTGGAGATCACTGGTTTAATGAGAACTTAACTTCCTGCCCAAGTTGCCCTGTGGAGACAGAAGGCTTTTCAAGTTCTAGGATGCTTGGTACTCTTTTATTGCTGCTCCTGCATTTCCATCCACTTTGGGAACTCTTAATTCACTTTGCCTGTATTGTAAAAGTATTGCAGTGTTTCCATTCCATCACACCCAACTTACTAGATCTTCAGAAATGCCTTGTGTGTTTGGGGAAAGCTTTTATTTTCATTTCTAGCTTCTAGTTTGTCAGGGCATAGGCTGTACTTCCCAGCTTTTCTCTGCAGTCGCTCAGGCTAGAACTAAGTTTCATGATGAAAGCTCAGATTCTTAATTGCTTGATTTCAGAGACTGGATCTTCAGGAGTAATGGCAAGTATTGTGAGAATCATGGAAGAGGTGACAATACTAGTAACTCTAATCTTCCTGTCTTGCATTTGGAAGCTTACACTGGTGTCTTTCTTTGCTTCCATCTCTCTGAAAATCTGTTTGTACTCTGCATTGATTCTTAGATTTTTGAATATCCTTATTCACATGAGGCTACAGAAGCAGGCAGGGCTGCTGTGGATTGGATCTTCCATGTCTGGTGGTAAAGCAACACTTCTGAACCAATATCCAGAGGGGACAGTGAAAGAGTGACTCCTATTAATAACAGTTGTGCCAGGAAAGGTTATGTGAAACTTACTGAGCGCTAGCATTCCTGCAATTAATGATTGAACCTGTTGCAAAAATTGGCTTGGGAAACCCATTCACAACTAATGTATCTTCTGTGGGGAATTAAGTTCTCTTTAGAAAAGGGAACATCTGTTTTTCCAATCTTCATTTTGATTAGAAGCCTTTATTTTGATGTACAAAACTGGTTACTGAATCCGCTTCATATTGGTTTAAAGGCTAAAAAAAGGCTAGGTTGCAGTATACTGTGATTTTTAAAATTCTTTTTTTTGCTTTTTATTTGTATTTTTCTTTGTAGAATTTAATAAATCCTCCTTAACTTATGTAAGTCAAGGGCCAAAAAACCTCATTCTTGTAGTTCTCATAAACACTGGTTTTCTTATTTTGGTACCTCAAGGTTTAGAATGAATAGAGGCACCTGGTTGTAGGTTACATGATGCCTTATCTCAGAATACTGAAATCTCTAGGTTTCCCTTATTTTCTCATCTGTTACTTCCTTAGTTCAGAGTTTAACCAGAAGCAGCCGTCAAACCAGCTCTTGACTATTTTTTTTAATGTAGGTGATTGGGTGTC